GAGGGGGACTAAAAGTTTTAGGAACAAGAGCGAACAAGAGAGGAGCTTAGAGAAGGTGAGGCCCAAGCCATTCATTCATTTAGCAATTCACCAACCGGAACTGCCCCAGAATCACTACATTCTGCTACGTGTACACCTTCACTGGAGCCTGGACACAGGGCAGCCTGTGTTCTACTTACAGAATGAGAAAAACAGAAGTCCAGAAGCCCAATGTTATAAAGATCATAGTTATTAGAGTCGAGGCTTGAACTTAAGGGTATCATTGTATCTTGAGTTTGTAGTTGTTCGTGCTCAGAAAACGATCTAATTCTCAGAGGGAGGTGAGGTCAAGAGAACAGGCTAACACTTGTTGTGGAGTGTTTGTAGTTACATATTTTATCCTCACAATAACCCAGCAGGCGAGGTACTAGTAGCCCCCTTTTCCAGAGGAGAAAATTGAGGCATAGAGAAGCTTGGTAACACACAGTGGTCCTATGGCCATTAAGTGGTACAGCTGGGATCAAGGTGCAGATCGTCCTGACAATGAACTTGTCCTTGCTACTCGTTCTCTTATACCCAGGCATTTCATTAAAACTGAAAGTTTCATTAAAATCACTCCTAGGGGCCTTCCTGGTTGCCTAGGGGTTAGGTCTCTGCTCTATCACTACTATGGCTTGTTCAGTCCCCACCTAGGGAGCTGACCCACATGGAACAGCAGTTCTCTCCTGTCTCACCCGCTGCTCCCCTCACCAGTGTACTTAAGTAGATCTGCCTGTTTTGCTCCCCATGCTGTCTCCAATGAATCCTCTCACCCCCTGCACCTCTGGCCTAAACCCCACTTCTTCTACACAAAAATTAAAAAATTATCACTCCCATGTCTTTCCACTCTGTGGAGCTCTCCATGGAGATGCTGATGAGAGTGAGTGGTCTTTACAGAACATAAGGAAGCCAGTAGTCTGGAGCCTGGTGATGATTTACTGCTTTTTGTGAATAATAGGAATAATTTGACAGCATGTTTTTTCATAGCCTTCAATTCACCTCAAAAGCACTTGGAGGTAATACTACAAATAATCACATGCTCTATTTGTGACCCTCCCTTCCCAAGGTCATTTAAAAAAGGAAGACTGAATTAAGGATGCATGGCCTTTATTTTAGAATTAACTTTGTCACTGTGTATTTGAAATGATGCTTTTGTCTCCTATACCTCCTTAAGTACCTTCCAGAGAAGGTACTTTCTTTCTTTCTTTTTTTTAAGATTTATTTATTTATGCTTACAGAACTGGGGTACAGGCCAGAGGTGTGGTGGTTAAGAGGATTTACCAGAGACAGAGTGGGGAGCAGAACAGGCAGAACTACTGAAATACACTGCTGAGGGAGTAGCAGGCGAGACAGGAGAGGTCTGCTGCGCCATGTGGGTCAGCTCCCTGGCTGGGGATGGAAATTGTGCTGCAGTGGCAAGCTTCATAGTGCAGAGCTTTAACCCACTGCTCCACCGGGGAGGGCCCCGAGAAGGTACTTTCTGAGGCACATTTGGTGGTACAGCGACACCAGGTGGTTTGTTAAGGAAGGACCTTATGCTCACTCAGGACAACACATGAGGTTAAGAAAATTCAGTCAGGGTAACAGCCTATTTGTTACTTTCATCTGTCTGGATTTCAGAGAAGTCAAAGGAAACTTCCACAGGTCTGGATTTAATGGTACCTTTTAACTAGGTATCTTTTTTTTTTTTAAGATTTATTTATTTGTACATACAGAACTGGGGTACAAGCCAGAGGCTCAGAGGCGGTGAGAGGCTTCACCAGAGACAGAGTGGGGAGCAGAACAGGCCGACTGACGAAATACACTGCTGAGGGGAGCAGTGGGCGGGTCAGGAGAGGTCTGCCACACCATGTGGGTCATCTCCAGGGCTGGCGGGGATCGAACTCATGCTGAAGTGGCTTTAACATCTTAGTGCTGTGCTTTAACCCGCTGCGCCACCAGGGAGGGCCAGGTATCTTTTTTTTTTAAGATTTATTTATTTCTGCATACATAACTGGGGTACAGGTCAGAGGTGCCGGGGTGGTGAGAGATTCACCAGAGACAGAGTGGGGAGCAGAACAGGCCGACTGACGAAATACACTGCTGAGGGGAGCAGTGGGCGGGTCAGGAGAGGTCTGCCACACCATGTGGGTCATCTCCAGGGCTGGCGGGGATCGAACTCATGCTGAAGTGGCTTTAACATCTTAGTGCTGTGCTTTAACCTGCTGCGCCATCAGGGAGGGTCTGCTTTTTTTTTTTTTTAAACCACCATAGGAAACAGGGGTCCTTAGAGTAACAGCTAATTTCAGCTGTCTGGAACAAGAAATACCCAGAGGTGCTGAGACCAGAAAACAAGGAAGCCACTGTCCTCAGAGTCATGTCTGAAGGACTAAGAAATGAACTTGAAGAGGCTCCCACTGCTCAAAGATGGGACAAATGTTGAACATGAGTAAAAAAAGTGAAAGTAAAGAACAAAACATGTCAATTCTGTTTACATATGAGTATACCAAAAGACAGAGTTCGGTACTGCCTTACTTTGGAAATGGGGAGTGACTATCTCAAAATGTGAAAAAAAAAAAAAAAAAAAGTCATGAGAAAAGAAAGAAACCATAACACTGGACATTCTATGGTATTGATAACATTAATGATGACTGGGAACATTTTAGGAGTAATGAAATAGGATGATTATATATTTTTTAAAGGTCCTTAGTGGTCACACTGAAATATTTAATGAATGAAACGGTATACTATTGGGAATTCACTTAAAAATAATGCCAGTGGATTGGTTTCCACTTGGTGGAAGGTGTCAGGGAACATGCTAATTTTGATTGGGCTTGAGTTAATTTTATCGTTGAAGGTGAGTGATGGGGAGAGAGGGTCTCATTCTCTATTCTTTTTGTAAGTTTGGAAATTTCTGTACTAAAAAGATAAAGACAGAAGGAAAACACTGTACTAACTCATTAGTCTCGGTCTGGATTAGAAAAATGATTAGAGGCCCCTCTGGTGGCATAGTTGGTTAAGGCGCAGCACTGCAACCTGGCCAAGGTGCTTTGGTGCGAGCTCGATCCCCCACCCCGCCCCGGAGGTGACCCACATGGCGTGGCAGACCTCTCCTGCCCCGCCCGCTGCTCCCCTCAGCAGTGTACTTTGTCAATCTGCCTGTTCTGCTCCCCACTCTGACTATGGTGAATCCTCTCATCGCCCCTGCACCTCTGGCCTGTACCCCAGTTCTGTATGCACTAAAAAAGAAAGAAAAATGATTAGAAACTAGCCCGACTGCTTGAAGTCTGGTGTAGCTGATTCTACATATCAACCTCATTCCTTGTGAAGTAAGACCCCGCAAAGGGAGGAATAATTATTGATATCTACTCCACGCCATAAGCACTAAGTGATGTATGAGCTGTAGCATACGTAGATGTCTAAATAGTATCTTAGTAAATATTAACAGCAATCCTAGAGGCAGGATATATCATCAGGACTTAAGAGAAGGGTGACAGTCTTAGTGCCTCCCATACAGCATCCTGCTTCTTAGCAATGGCGTTGGATTCCAAGTAAAATACACGTGTTCATTACCATACACCAAGCTGCCTTCAAAGACCCAGGGACGAGAATGGAAAAGAGAGCTAGGAAGGTGGGTCAGACAGCTGAGGCCGGGGTGGGGGAGCAGGCAAGCTATCGGCAGGGGCTCCCTCTCAGTGACACCGCTGTACTTGCACACCTGAGAGCCAGCGCCTCCCTTTGGCACTCAGGGCACCTCAGTTCTCTACCCGAGTCCTTGCTCTGGGGAAAGAAGTTTTTTGTTTTTTGTTTTTTTCATTGGCGCTTGCTTGGTCTGCAGCTTGTGCAGTGAAGGCTGAAGTCTAACAGGAACTGGGATGGACTGGGAGGCAGGCGCCGCTGAGCTGCAGTACAATGGATATCCTCGCGGGGGCACTGCATCACCGAGGATGGCCCAGAGCATCTGCTAGCGTGAACTTGCTCAGCGTTTGCATTAGTGCCAGGGAAGCCTGCACTGGACTCAGATGCTGAACTGGAGCAGGGCAGCCAGATAACTAAGTTCAGAGGGAGTGGACAAAAGCTTTGCCCAGTGCAAATCTGCTTGTGCTTTCGCTTTCTTTTTTTAAAAAAAGATTCATTTATTTATGCATAGATAACTGGGGTACAGGCCAGAGGCATAGGGACTGAGAGGATTCACCAGAGACAGAGTGAGGAGCAGAAAAGGCAGACTGATGAAGTACACTGCTGAGGGGAGCGGTGGGTGGCTGTGGCTGGCTTGCAGTGCTGCCCTTTAACCTGCTAAGCCACCAGGGAGGGCCCATGGTTTATTGTTCATGAGATTGTTCCAGAATGGAACCAAACCCTCACCAGTGCTATGGTTCCTACTGGGAAACTCTGGCCTCTGCCTGTGTGTGGTTGGATGACTGTTGCATTGTAGGACCTTAATAATCACTGGTTATTTAAAAGGTGCTTGGTTTCTGAGGGAGGCAGTGATTTGTACCTATTATTGTCTGGCATCAAGAAAATATGGCCCAAATGGAGTAGAAATGGCTAGAATGATAGCAGGTGCGTGTGTGCTTTGTTAAAGGGCCCACAGACCAGAAACAACTAAGAAGGGACAGCTGGACCCTGTCAAATGCTTTCTACCCTTCTGGCATCCAAAGGGCACACCCCCAGTTTCCCAATGATCCAAGCCCCCAAACCACAGCTTGACTCTGACATTCCCCAGGTCTCCCAGGACCTTCCAGTGACTGTGGAGTTAGGAGTCCACTTGAGCCCAGGAGATACTCTCTCTAGTCAAGTCACTCGGTTAACTGGCAAAGGGGTCAAGTGCAGTGTTTGTGTTTGTGGACTTAGGCTGAAGGAATTCAAGTGAGAAATTGTCGGGACTGAACTTACTTCATCAACAATTCAACTTCAGTGCAGATGCTGACTGGAGACATCAGGAGTGGTTAGGGGGCCCCCTTTCCACCCCCACCCCAGTACCTGCAGAACCGTGTCCTTACATGGAGTAGACAGTGATGCTCTCCCGCTCCTCGATCTTAATGCTGTTGTCGCTGGGAACAGGCGGGTCGCTCTGAAACTGGTTTGGAATCCGGAACCAGACTTTTAATTTCTTCTGCAGGGAGCCGTCGTCAGTGGGGAACACAGCAAAGGAAATGGGCACTGTCATCCCCATGCCAATTCCTGCAGGTAGAAACCCCCAGTGTGAGGGGCTGATTTAGGGTCAGAACATGTGGGAGGGTCTGCTTGTTTTCCTTCCAAGACAGACTGGGAGTTCTTGAAATTCCTAGTAAACATTCTAGAGCTGGCAGCCACACACACACACACACACACACACACACACACACACACACAATTACTTGTTTGGACTGTACATAGGAGTATAGTGATTCAACATTTTGTGGGAAGAAATTTGGCGATATATATATTAAGGTAATAAGTGTGGCCTTTCTATCTAAACATCCAGTTTAAGGGAATAAGATGAAAGACAGAAAAGGCTGTAGGCACTAGGATATTCATTGTGGCAGAATGTGTAGTTGTGAGAACCTGGGAATCATATAAATATCCAAAACAGGAAGATGTCTAAATACATGTCAATGATGCAATGTAACGTAACTATTAGTAACAATGCTTAAGAAGTCTTTAGCAATTGCGGAAAGATAATGATGAAATAATAAGTAATAGAAGGATATACAAAGGCACACATAGTATGACTAGATTTTAAAGGTCTAGGAAAAGCCATACAGAAATACATTCAAAAGACAATGGTTGTGGGGCCTCACTGGTGGCACAAGGGTTATGTCTCAGCATTATCAAGCTACTGCCACCTACTGCAGCAAACCCCAGCCAGGTGACCACATGGCCCAGCAGACCTCTCCTGTCTTGTCTGCTGCTCCCTTTGACAGCGTATTTCAGTACATTTGCCTGTCCTGCTCCCCACTCTGTCTCTGATGAATCCTCTCATCCCTGCACTGTTGGCCTGTACCCCAGTTCTTGCATACATAATAAATCTTGTATACAAAAATAAATCTTTTAAGAAAACAAAAAAAGAGAGACAATAACAGGTGTATTTAAAAAAGAGATTAGGGCTGCAGTTTTGTATTTTCACATTTTCTTTAAGGAGTTTTATAATTTGTGTGTGTGTGTGTGTGTGTATATATATATGTGTATATATATATATATTTTTTTTTTTTCCTGGTTGATTTATTGTCCAAAGCCTGTTTAGTTTAGTCCCAATAAATGCCACTAAAATGTATACCAGTTTCTAATTTTCTAAACGATTTGCTTGAGAAATATCCTCACTGTTAAACACGACACCTCTTTTCTCGCTTGGCTTTCTGACCTATTTTGAGTCTGCAACTTCTCAAGGGCCAACCAAGTGACAGAGCTTCTGGAGTTCAATTTATAGTTAAAGATGGTTCGATGCCCTCAGGGCACCAGTCATTGGCCAGCAGGGGGCGCCGAGTCTCCGATAAGAGTGGGCAACCTAAGACTCAACCTTCTTTCGCCCAGGGAGCAGGTGCTGGGCAGCTGTCCCTGCGGCCTCCCCAAAGCCTCCTGGCTCAGGCCACACACAAGACCCCGTGCCACCGAAACAGGTAGGCACGTGAGATGTGAGACCACGCAAGGCCACCCACATTGTCCCAGGCTGCTCCCCTCCGCCTGTCCCGCCCCCTCCCCACCCGCGTGATCATCTCCACGAGTGTCTCTGCAGTCCCCAACATACTATGTTACTTCCGAGCCCTGAGCCGCCCCCTTCAGGTCACTCACCCTTGTCATTGGTGCCCCCAACGTACTTCACAACTTTGGGCATGGCTTCCCGCAGCGCCTCATCCACTGGCTTTCCCTCCACTTCCACCGTGGCAAACCTGCCGCCTTCACAGGTCCTCTCCTCATAGGAAATTTCTTCCTAGACACGGGAGACACAGCGCTGAGGAGAGAAGAGGCGACCGGCGCCACCACAGAAGCAGCCACAGCCCCGCTGCAAGAGGCACAAACTGCTCCCGCACTGTCCGCGGGGACTGCTGTTATATTTCTTTATTTCCTCCTTTCTGGGTTTATTCCTACTTTTTCTGGCTATTGGACCTCTTGCTAGATCCTACGATTTGCTTTTTCTCTTTGAGCTTCCTTGCCTTTCACTTGACTTTCTAAGAGTTCCTTGACCATTATATTCTTTTTTTTAAAGATTTATTTATTTATGCTCACAGAATTGAGGTACAGGCCAGAGGTGTGGTGGGTGAGAGGATCCACCAGAGACAGAGTGGGGACCAGAACAGGCAATCAGTGAAGTACACTGCTGAGGGGAGCAGCGGTGGTCAGGAGGTCTGCCGCGCCGTGCCATGGGGGTCAGCAACCTGGCTGGGGATCGAACTTATGCTGCAGTGGCTTCTGAGAGCTTCATAGTGCTGAGCTTTAGCCCATTGCACCCCGAGGGAGAGCCCGGCCATTATATTCTAAACTTTCTACCAGACTTTTCATTTCTGTTTCATATTTCATTTCCAAGCACTTTTTCATCTTGGAACGTGCCACAATGCATAGCTTCCAGAGGGTCCTCTGTAGGGCTTTGGATACAGTATTCTGTGTCATCTGTGTCAGTCTATGGTTTTCCCGCTCTCTCTGTGAGAGAGAGAATCTACTTCCCAAGAGCCCTATAAGTGCAGGCCTGGCTCTTGTGCCCCATCTCATTCCCACACTTTACCAGACCTTTGAGCTCTTGACCTAAATTATTTCCCCTTTCCACTTCTCTTCTGGTAACCACTAATGGGTCTTGTAATCTCATTTTTTTTTTTTTTTTGGTTTGGTTTCTCCATGTCAGCCCATGGTGTTCATCTTGCTCCCTCTGACTTATTTCATTAAATTTAATCCCTCAAGGTCCATCAGCATTGTCGCCAGGAACGTGGTGCCCATCATGACCATAACCGTGATGGAAACCAATTCATAAAACAGCACTTTATTTACCGTTATAGACAGGATACATGCCATGCTTGCTTTTTCTTTCTATCCTGCTTACTTCTACTTGAGTGAATTTTATACTATTCCCTCGAAGGAAAAAAAAAAAAGCCTTGCTCTATATCGATTTTACTCCTTGGTTACAGAACACAAATGCAGTTTGAAAAATGTGCTGTGAAGCCTTTGTGGACAGGAAATACCACAGAGCTATTTATTGATGAATGAAAGAACTGACTCCCTTAAACTCATCATGAAAAGTAGACCCGGCAGAGGTCCTGGCTGCCCTGGGTTAGTCTGTGGGGGCATCTGAGATGGAAGATTCTCAACTCCCAAGGGGGCATTTCTGTAAGGGGCGAGGACTCTGGAGCTCGTATTGACTCGCCCCTGCATGCCAAACTTCCCTTCACACGGAGTGGGGAAGCTGCACTAAGATCAGGTATCCAGCCCTCAGCTGGGCCTTGACCTTGGGGCCCAGAGCCTGCCCACTGCAAGGATCTGCGAGAGTCTAGCGCTTCCAGGGAGCCTTTAGTAGCCAAGTGTTTTATGTAAACTGGGGGTGCTTTGCTCTCTCTGGCTGTGTCACAACAGAGAATTCTAGACCGAGTCCCTCAGGCAGCCCCGCCCCACCGAGTCTTGCCACTTGTAATGTTTTAAAATCCCAAAATGCCATTCTATGAAAAAACCCACAAAAGGTTTTTAAGTTCACCCAATCAAACTTATTTTACCAAGAAGGAAATAAACAATGAAGAGAGTGGGTGTGTTACCCAAGACACACAGCTACTGCACGGTGACGCTGGGCCCAGAAGTCCAGTCCCCAAACTCAGTCAAATGCTGGTCTCCAGACCCCACCGTGCAGTGGGAGATGGAGGCAGCATGTTTGCCTCTTTCTTTAGTCAGTAATTTAGCTACTTCTGACAGACATTTGTAGGCCTATGTCAAACTCAGGTCAGAGGCATCAGAAGTCATTTAATGCAGCTACTTCTTTGACAGTGGCGAAGCCAGAGATAAGCTCTTTGTGGAGAAGACCTAGCTGAGCTGACTGACTCTTTCCTTTGGTCTTTGTTTCTCCTTCTGTTGAACTACTGAACACCTACTATGTGCTGGGCATCAGCCAGGAGCTGCCATCAGAGACGAAAACCCTGTCTCTGAGGTCAGGTGGTTTCTGGTGTGAGGAATGCGTGGTCCCATGAGAAGCCATCTGGAAAACAGGTTTTAACCCAATGACAGGCTTAAGAGGAGGGAAGTCTCCAGGCAGTGTGGGAGCACAAAAGAGGGCGACTTAGGTTAGTTTGGGGAGGGTGTGTGGGGAATGTTCATGATTCAGTAGATCAGGCTAACTTTGAGGTATTGCTAGGTGATCCAACTGGCTGCTTAGGTGTCTTCACTGATGGAATGAACATGTATTGAGAACCTCTGGCAGGTGCTACAGACTTGGAGACTAATATGAAGTCTGGATGGGTGGTGAGGAGCATCGCATGAATGATTATTACACAATGCAGTAAAATGCTCAGAGAGTTATGAGAGCACCGTTCAGGGATGCTCTGGGAACAGGAAAGGTGCACAGCGAGATGACAGTGAAGACTGAAGGGCTTCCTGTGGCTCAAGCAGCCTGGTGAGCAGTGCACAGCCAGCGAGGAGGCCAGAGGGTCTGGCCAGGTCCTAGAAGAGCTTGCAGGCTGTCCTGCGAGTGGGTTTTGTGAGCACCAGTCCAGTGAGGAGGGCCTTACAGGCACACCCACTGCAAATGCGCTCAGCTGGCTCGTGTGACCCAAAGCCAGGGATTGGCTAGTGTGTCTGAGTTTTGAGGGGGACGAGCCCCTGGCCAGAAGAGCACTCTGGGGCCATGCAGGTGACCTGAGTGTTGGCCTGTTCCCTGGCCACTGTCCACAATAAGGAAAGAAAGGCTGCCAAGAAAATAGCCCAGCTTGACCAAGAGACAACTTTGTAAGCTGCCACTGAACTTCACAGCCTCCTCTTGTGAACTCCCAATGTCAGGAAACTCTGGGGATGGAATTGCTTTGTGTGTCCAACAGCTCAGCTCCTTCCTGCTAGACATGAACAAATTGTCCAGGGGGCGCCTGGACAACTGGAGCTCAACCGGAGACCAGCCCAGGAACAGAAACTGGAGAGCCATCAGCATAAGGGGAACTAAACTGGACAGGAGGCTGGCCAGGCTCATCTATAGAACATTCTCTACACAGCAAATCATGTCATTAGACCCCACTAACAGCCTTCATTCACCAGGTTCTTACGCTCTCCCTCAAGAGGTAGGCACCACCCAGCTTCTACCAGTGTTACCAACCACACTCAGAGTGCCTCCTTCTGGCTCTTTGCCTTTTTCTTCAAGGCCATGGCCACACCTGCCAGGCTTGTAGGGCCCCTCCCCCCCCCACCCCAGGATTCCTCTCCTTCTGCCTAAGGAGCCTCTCCTCAATCACCAGGTTTCAACCTAAACCCTAAACTTAGGCTCCTCTGACATGATCCTAATGGAAAATAGGTTCCCCAAGATCTTTTCTTTTTTCAAGTATATATATTTTTTATCTAAAAACATAATATAATAGTTTATTTTTACATCATTTTATGCCTTTTTCCACCTCAGTTGTAATCCCCATGGGCTTCCCATCACCAAATCACCCGTGTGCCGACACCATAGTCCAGTGCACTTCCCTCCCCCCACCGTTTTTGATCCCATTCCCCACTCCATCCCCATAAAATGTCTCTGGTATGTAGTTGTTCATTATTATTATTATTTTCTTGCCTGGTCCTTTATACTCCTGCTATGAGAGAAACCATCCAGTATTTTTCCTTTTCTTTCTGGTTTATTTCACTAAGCATGATCTTTTCCAGCTCTATCCATGTTGCTGCACAAGGCATTGTGTTTTGGTTTTTTTTTTTTTTTTGGTTGCTGAGTAATATTCCATTGTGTATATGTACCACATCTTTTTAATCCATTCATCTAGTTTTGGGCACTTGGGTTGTTTCCATGTCTTTCCAATTGTAAATAAAGCCGCAATAAACATCCCCAAGATCTTTTTTATAGGCCTCTGTGTTTCTGCAACACAATGCTTATTGCAATTATGATTTAATAGCAATGTACTTCGCCTCCATGGGGGTTATGGTTGGAATGGAGTCAGGATGTCCTCATATTATTTTTCACTTATCTCCCTCTGCATCTAGTGCTTCTGGCATATGGGCACTTCACAAGGATTTTTGAGAAAGGAGGCCACAAAATAAACCTGGTTTTACGATAAGGACAAGGAATACAATAACCACAGCTGGTGGCCAGGTGAGAATCTAGCCTGATGACATCTGCTCTGGAGAAAAGCTGGGCTACAGTGTTGTAAAGTGGTTTTACTGCCATGTCCAGAAGCTTTAAGCTGAAACTCTGGATCACTGTGAAAACTGAGGCTTGAGAGATGGACACAGTATTTCTAGTTCCCCAGAAAGCAAAATTTCAACAGAGGCTGATTTCTACAAAAAATAAAGCACCTAAGTTAACATAGTTTTGATTTTTCAAATTTAACATCGTTAGTGTTTCCAGGTTCCATGGGACAGAGTAACAGATCTCCTCCCCAGCTACCAGAGGAGGATTTGGCCAGTGGCCACAGACACCAATTTTCAACATGTCCTCTGGGAACCCACATGATGTTTAAGTCCCAGACAGATCTTATAAGAATGTCTTTTGCAATGGGATCTCTGCAAGGTCAAGTTTTTCCCTTGTCACTTAGTGTGGGAGGCTACACACAGATTTTGGAAACCAGCTTTCTCATTAGAAGAAAATCATCATCATCACCCCAGTACTTTCTGTGTCTGGTGTTACTTGAAGCACTTCACCTAGATCCATTTGTTCAATCCCTCTAACTATCTTGTGAAAAATTATCTTCATTCTCAGATGAAATGAGCACAAGAGGTTAAGTAAGGTCTTTTAGGTACTGTGGGCAAGCATGGCACAGGGCAGGT